AACAATGTGATAAGGTTCTATATCAAATACAAGGATTATTATATTATGACCACGAGTGCTTCAACTCTACGTTGGCTCATTGTCATATCTCAACAATGTTTTACAAAGGCAACTTATTCTAAGTACAATAAGGTAACCCTGATGACTCATATATTAAAAGACACGTTAAAAATACCCAAAGAAAGAAACTGACTTGGTTGACTAGCCTCAGGACAAATGAGGATGGGGGAGGAATGAGGAGCTACCAACAGGAGCTGACTCACAATGGATGTCTGTCTGGTTCATATTCAATGCTTAGTTTAAGCCAGTCCGGAAACTTGGCATCTTGTTTGACAACTATCCTTTCTACATCTGTGCCATGAACTGCTCTGCCTTCCCCCACCTCCACAACATCGCCCGGTTCCGCCACTGTCTCACACCGCAGGCCGCTGAAACCCTCGTACATGCTTTCATTACATCCAGGCTTGACTATGCAAACTCCTTGCTTGTCGTCCTCCCCAAATCCTCCCTCCATAGGCTGTGGATTATCCAGAACTTTGCAGCCTGTGTCCACTCCCTCACCAGGCTCCGTGACTCTATCACCCCCATCTTCGCCCAACTCCACTGGCTTCCCATCACACAGAGGATACAGTTCAAGATCCTGGTCCTCACCTTCAAATCCCTCCATGGCCTTGCTCCCCCCTACCTCTGTGACCTCCTAGCCGTCTAACATCCTGCTCTCCCTCCAGCCTGCTTCACATCCCCCAGCTCGCTCGGCTCACTATGAGTGACCGGGTCTTCAGCCACACTGCCCCCACCCTCTGGAACTCCATCCCGCAGACACCTTTTCCCCTCCCTTGCTTCCTTTGGGACCAATTTCAAGACCCTCCTCTTCGACCGTGCCTTCGATCACCCTGCTTCCCCCCCGCCCTTCACCCTCCCCAATCCCGACCCCCAGCTCGGGTCCGAAACTCTGTCTGTCCAGCACCTTAGGACATCCTCCCGACGTGAAAGGCCCTATACAAATGTAATTTTGTTGTTGTGTTTGTTGTTGTTGTTAGTATATTCCATTTGGCTAAACAAGTGGTGGTCAATCAAATACATTTTACTTGACGGAATATATCTTGATTTATTGCCATACCATATATAGTGCTACTCAGTAGCTACTGGAAACAAAATAATGATTTAACATAGACTCACCTAGACTAGCGTGAATGTTCTGCGGGCTACTTTTGAAGCCCCTGTAGGCCACTTTTAGGCTAGACTATTTCCAGAGAGGTTAGGCAAGGCTGCATTCTCCACAGACTTATTTGTTCACTGTTGCTGCTTTATGTGGGCAAGATGAAAGGCAGAGAGGACTGCACACATATATGTTGTGCAATCTGCATTCCATCTCTAGTGCATAATAAGTAGACTAGACAATTTCCTTCAGAAGCTAAAACTTGGACACCGTTTGGAAAATTATCAATTGAGGTTAAATTACTGTCATATTTTCAGACACGATTAAATAGGCTGCCGACACTCAACGTCTGAGATCACACATGAAGTTACAGCCACGTGGGCGAGGTACAGAAACACAGGCAGCTGCCAAGGAATTGAAATGCAGAAAGAGTCAGTACTTCAGGAATGAATGGGAAAGAGTTGGGAGAGAAAATTACACAAATAAAAGAACAGAACAAGGGCACAGAAAAGGAAAAGGAGGAAATGTTCCTTTCTAGCAAATAATAATATAATAATAATCCTTGCATTTGATATAGTGCCTTATCACGTCTTTGAGATGTCTCAAAGCGCTTCACAGAATATACCATAAAGTGAATTGATTGTATATTTTGTGGGCGAAATGTAGCAGCCAATTGCACACTGTAGTTTCCCACAAACAGTCATGGATTGAGTGAACAATTTTTTTTAAGGTATGATTGCCCCCGGAAAAGCGATCCGCCAATTGACGGGTTCCTACTTACTGCTAGGTAAACAGAGGCGTGTGGATTAAGGAAACTTGCCCAACGTTTCGCCCTGCCTGGGAATCAAATCCAGGTCTCTTGCTTGTGAGGTGGGTGCTCTAACCACTGAGCTACAGGATTCCTCAGAGAAAGAAAGATCTACGCAACTCAAATAAGTTTCACTTTTGTGAACTAACTTTCCAACAGTTATCATAATAAAATAAAAATAAAAATAATAATAATCCCTGCATTTGATATAGCGCCTTTCACGGTGATGTTTGTTAAGTGTAGTGATTGTGTATTTGTAGGCAAACACAGCAGTCAATTTGCACAGAGCAATGTCCCACAAACAGCCATGACTGTGTTTATCTGGGGGATTGTTGGCCAGGAGACTGGGAGAAACTCCGTTCTCATCTTGAATAGAGCCATGGCATCTTTAACGACCACCTAAGCTAGCAGATGGGATCTCGGTTCAATGTCTCAACCGATAGACGTATACAATACTTGAAAGTGCTTTACAAAATATATTTGATTAGAAATTACATGAAGGTTATATCGGCAAACTCTGCAGCTAATCTACGCATAAAGGCTCACAAAGAACACAGTCAATTCATTTGAATTTGTGGTATATTTGCAGTATCTCTTAACCTATTCAAACACAACAAGCTTGAAATGTGTCACATTCGTCAAAAACCTCACTGACACTTGTTCTGGCTAACCTTACGGTACACCATAAGATTCAGGGTCTGCTGAGTCTGTCTGCAACCAATCATTGACTGTACATACCTAGAACTCTGAGAGAATGTTGAACTCTGTTTTGCATTCAGATCTGTTTGTAGAATTGCCAGTAAGTTCTATGGCAGGATAACTAGTTTTCATTCACTTCCCTACATTTGTTGTGGGACTTTCCTGTTTTTTACCCTCAATTGCTGGCTTTGCAGAGTCCTGTAATTCTTGACCTGACTACTACCTGCTGACGTTTCCACAAAAGACAATTCAGGTTTTAATTGATGAATTCTATTTGACAGGATAGTAGGAAAAACTAAGAATAATAATCCTTACATTTGGTATACTATAAAGGACGGTTTGCCCCAATGTTGCCCTGCTACTCAATCAAACCAGTTTCTTTCTTGAGCTTTTAATATACAAAGTCATATAGAACTGCTTTGGGACACCTTCCTGAATGAAAGGCTCTATACCAAATTATATAGTATAAAGGATATACTGTAAAGTGAAATGATATCTTGTGGGTGAATAAGAATAATCTTTGCATTTGGAATAAGGTCTTTCACATCGGGAGGACATACAAAAGTGCTTCACAGAATATACTGTGAAGATAAGTGGGATTTGCTGAGGAAATAAGTGGCATTTGGTTTTAATTATCTGACAATTCCTTGCAAATCACACAAGATGCCCCAAAGCTCCTCATTTTACACCACCATTGAGATACAAAAACAGAACTTGCTTGATGAAAAAGTGAGGTAGAAACTTGCCATAATTCAGTCACTTCCTCTCCCCCTTCTTTTGAATGACAAGTTACTTAAACTGTGTCTCAGCATGCTATGAAATCTGTTCAATTAGTCCCAGTATCAAGTCTGTGTAGAAGTAAGCATTGGATTCAAGAATTATTCCAAACAAAATATGGATTATCTATAAGTCTTCATTCTTTCTGGGGCAATTCATATTTTAATAAGAATGTAAGGTTTGGTGCTAAACATTAACACCCTGCATCGAATGTACTACAACAACAACAAAATTACATTTCTAAAGCGCCTTTCACGTCAGGAGGACATCTCAAGGCACTGAACGGTCGGGGATCAGGACCCGAGCGAGGGGGGCAGGATTGGGATGAGGGAGGGCAGAGAGGTAGGAGGGCGGCTGAAGGCACGGTCGAAAAGGAGGATCTTGAGTCGTGCCTTGAAGGAGGCAAGAGAGGGAGCAAGGTGAAGGGATTGTGAGATGGAGTTCCAAAAGGTGGGGACAGAGAGGCTGAAAGCCCGGCCACCAATGGTAGGGTGGGTTTGGCGGGAGACATAGAGCAGGCCAGAGCCTGCTGAACGCAGGGTGCGGACAGGTTGATAGGGAGTTAGCAGGTCAGAGAGGTTGGAGGGAGCAAGGCCATGGAGGGCCTTGATAGTGAGGACGAGGATTGTGAATTCTCTCCTCTGAGGGATGGAGAGCCAGTGGAGCTGGGCGAGGGTGGGGGTGATGGGGTCACGGAGCCTGTTGCTGGAGAGGACATCAGCTGCAGAGTTCTGGATGATCTGCAGCTTCTGGAAGGAAGAGTTGGAGAGGCCAATAAGGAAGGAGTATCCATAGTCGAGCCTTGAAGTGACGAATGAGTGTATGAGGGTTTCGGCGGCCTGAAGGGTGAGGCAGTGGCGAAATCTAGAAATGTTGCAGAGGTGAGAGAAGGCAGACCTGGTCATGGCACGGATATGGGGGAGAAAGGACAGTTGAGGGTCGAACAAGACACCCAGGTTCCTGACTGGCTTGGTGAGGTGGATGTTGATGCTGCCAGTGCCTGAGGTGCGGAGGCGCTGCCGCGAGCCAATCAGGTGGGCCTTGGTCTTGCTGACATGCAGCTGTGGAAAGTTGGCTCTCATCCAGGTCTCGATGTCAGACAGACAGTATGTCAGGACGTCAATTGTCTTGGAATCGAGGGTGGAGGTAGAGTGACAGAGTTGGGTGTCATCCGCGTACATGTGGAAGTTGACCCTATGTCTGTAGATGATGTCACCAAGGGGGAGCATGGGAGAGGTTGAAGAGGAGGGGACTGAGGACAGAGCCCTGAGGAACACCATACGAGACTGGAATCGGGGGCTGGAAGAGAAACCATTGGCGGAGACAGTGTGAGAGATAAGACCTGAACCATTTAAGGACAGCACCTTGAAGGTTGAGGTGAGAGGCAAGGCGGTGGAGGAGGATGGAGTGGTCCATGGTATCGAAGGCTGCAGACAAGTCGAGGAGGATGAGGAGGACGAGGGAGCACCGGTCACAGATGGACAGGATGTCATTTGTGACCACGACCAGAGCACAGTTACTATTCTACATCAAACAATAATAGTACTTCAAACATACCTGTGAACCGGTGATGTGCATGAGGCCAGACATAGCACACGCGATAGAATCATAACCTGGACGCTGGGACATTGGGCCAGTTTGTCCATAGCCTAAAAAATTAAAATGGAAATGTTTTACTGTTATATGTAAGTTAAAATAATTCTTCTATGATGTTATTTATGTGGCTAAATAATTAATATGAATCTATTAATTTTAACTTTAACTTCCATATGTATGTATGCTGATGACACCCAATGCTATCTCTCTTATCGTCCCTCGATTCCAGGATCATTGGTGTCCTCCTCAATTGCATGTCAGATATCAAGTCCTGGATAGGAGCTAACTTTCTCCAGTTAAATATCAAGAAGATGGAGGCTCTCCTGCTTAGTTCCCATCAGCATCTCCTCACCTCAGGCAATGACAGCATCAACCACCCACATTCCATCTCACGGAGCCAATGCAGAACCTTGGTGTCTTGTTCGACTCTCAACTGACTTTTAAACCCCACATCTATGCTTGATCCGTTCAGCTTTACCCCACTTCCACAGCATTGCCCCACCCCCACCACTATCTTTACTCTCCGGTGGCCAAGACCCTTATCCATACTTTTATCACGTCCAGGTTTGACTTTGCTAACCCTTGGCTCACTACTACCTTCCACAAGCTCCAGACCATTCAGAACTTTGCAGCGCGTGTCCTTTCCTGTATTAGCCTATCACCCCTATCCTCGCCTGCCTTCACTGCTCCAGATTCCCCCAGAACAGAGTTCAAGATCCTCGTCCTCATTTTTAAATCCCTCCATGAACTTATCCCACCCTTCCTCTGTGACCTTCTATAACACTTACCAACCCACCCACTTTGCTCAGCTGGCACTGGCCTGCTTCACATTATTATTATTACTGCTAAGACCACCACAGAGGGCCAGCTCAATTACTATATTCCATTATCAGCTCAGCCCCAAGGAGACCCTTGCCCTCCCCATGATTATCATCCACCAAAAATAAATATTTAAAGTATAATGAATATAGTAATAATAATAATAATCCTTGCATTTGATATAGCACCTTATCACATCACCGAGATGTCTCAAAGTGCTTCACAGAATATACTGTAAAATGTATTGACTGTATATTTTGTGGGCGAAACATGGCAGCCAATTGCTCACAGTTAGTGTCCCACAAACAGTTGTGGATTGAGTGACCAAATTATAATTTTTTCTGAAAGGAATTAGTAACCCCGGAAAGCAATTCTCCAATCGACTAACAACCCCCAAAACATTTTGAATTTTTTTATCATTTCTCATTTCCTAAGATTTCATCTCACCTCCCAACTCGCCCAGAACGTTACTGACATCTCGATATTTTACACAGCAAAATACATAGCAAAGAGCAAGGAAACAAGTTATTGATATGAAATCAGAATACATTGTACTGCACTGAATATATTCCAATTAAAAAAAATCAAGATTACAATGTCACTAAAAATAGATACTGATATTAGTTATTTTATATTTAACAGCTGGAACCTTGTTTTGACCCAGACATTGCAATGTAAGTTGACACATTATCTCTGTACTGCATGCAGACAAAAGATACAAACAAAAATATTTCTCCATGAGTTCAGATTAGATCCCAACCTCTTTAAGCGACTAGCATTTATCTGAAACACTACAGATCAGACACAAATCTTACTTGGACTTCTCCCAATATATATTTCAGGGATATGCCTACTAAAGCATTCTGAATTGGAAACATGTTTTGAACACTCACAGTCACTGAAGCAGAAAAAGTCAAAACAATCAGCTGAAAATTGTGCATAGCAACAAGAAAACAAAGCTACTTATTCACATTTGTAAATGCAGTTCGAAGCATTTTTTAACCTCTATTATAAAACTTTCAGTTAAAATATCAGTGAATAATACATACTTCTTAAATAGATCCCGTTGTCTTTTTTTNAACATCCTTTCATTCCATATATGGCTTCTCAACCAAGAGGATTGCCGTGTGGCCGGGCTTCCAAGCCTTTGATGAAGTTGTGTGGAAGTAAGTCGAGATGACTCACTCACTAATGTTCCCTCAACCCCCTGTGAGAGGTGGTCCACCTCTGTGACCACACTTCCCCACAAGAATCTGGGTGAGATCACACAGGAAAACTAGAGAACAAGCCCACATCCTACCACTGCATGGCACAACCACATCTAATTATAGTTCTACATTTTTTTTGACAAGATAAAAAGGTCACAGAGTTCTTTTCTATTTTCTCCTGTCATGATAAATCCTAAAGTTATTTATGTGTCCGATATTCACTAGTCTTCCAGTTTTCCACTGTTGGGACTTACTCATTTATTCACTAATTAGTGTAAGTAGCAGTATACAATATTATATAGACCAGTAAAGACAAATAGGGAAACATTTTGATTTATCTTTTGATCTGAGGTTTTTGTACTTCGATTTTCTTCAGTTGGTTCCATAAAAAGATTTTTAGTGTGGAAGGATTGTGCTTTAGTATCTGCTGAGATGTAATCTGATCGCCCATTCTGTCCCGCTGAGATGATGTGGAACATAGAGTTCCTCGGTCTCTGTGGGACTCTGCTAGTAAAGTCACAGCCGCAAATGACATTGATATTACTATTGAAACTAGACCTGTTTTTCTGATATGCAACAATTAAGGAATTATCTTCCTTAAGAGCATAAGCTTTCACGTAGCCACAGATATAGAACTAGCTGCACCCGTGGCAGCTACGCTTGCAAGCAAAGGATCCCAATATGGAATGCAGATTGACACACAGACAGACACACTTACTTATCCTTGAAAGGTTTGATTTTCGCTGAGGCATCTTTATAATAATAAATATAACTGTATAATTTATAATCACTGGGACATCCTCCCGATGTAAAAGGCGCTTTAAAAATGTAATTTTGTTGTTGTTGCCACGGCTTAGCTTCATCTGCGTTCTTTATTTTGTTCCCACCACCGCTTGGCTACGTGCGCGCTCTGTGATGCATTACGCCACAACGCCATGGTCAGTCGGCAAGGCTACCAGGTGTAAATGCACGATACCACAGCGCCACTTTGACTCGGCAGCCACCAGGTGTAACTGTAGAGAAAAATGCAAAACTGAAATTTACATTTTACGTCATAACTCATGAACGACAGGAAATACCCCAAACAAATAGGCCCATGTCACTCCCAGATGGAAGATCTTTCTGATGAGGTATAAATCAGGTCTCTATGTCAATCGGTTATTGAGATACTTCTTGGAGCGCACAGACAGATAGATATTGCCGTTTTATTAGTATAGATAGATAATAGAAATTGCAGCAGAGGAGGAAACCAATTAGTCCATCGTGTCTAAACTGGTGCTGACTCATAAACTACTCAAAAAGAGAAGGGAATTTCTCCCAGTGTCCTGGCCAACAATCCCCCAAATAAAATTAGTCATTGCTCTATACAATTAGACTGCCGCGTTCACCTACAACTATACAGCTGCTTCACTTCACCATAAGTTATTGAATTCCTTTGGGAGGTCCTCCTGATGTGAAAGCTCTGTACCAAATTAAGGATTGTTATTATCTGAGCTAAGTGCTCATTCAAATTCCTTGCTCTGTCTGCATACCTTATTATATTGTCCCTCTTAAAATGTTTATCGAATATCGTTTTAAATGTTCTCATGGTCTCAGGAACAATAAATTGCATTAATACACCGTTTTCACGTCAGGAGGGCATTGTGGTATTCCTTCTTTCTTTATTCCTTTTCCCAAAATGTACTCTTTTGCTATTTATTAACTATTTATTAACAATAAATTGCATCTGCCACAATCTGCCCATTTTGCTTTGTAGTCTATGCCATACTGCATTCTTCCTCAGTTTTCTATATTCCTAATTTGATAATTCAGCAGAGTGAGACATTGTTTGACCTCTGCCTATCTCCAAATCATCAATACAGGTGGAAATCAACATTTCTTTTGTTTTCTGCCTGTATTAATGATCCCTGGGGAAGAGTAAAGGTTTCAGGGGCATGCTACTAACCGAGGAATGAGGGAAGACTAAATAACCTATAATTCTCTGGCGCAACCTTTTCCGTATTTTAACCATGATATAATATTTGCCACCTCAAGTGCTTTAGCGGAATTCCAAAGAAGTTTGGAATATTGCATCCAATGTACCATCCATTATGTTCTCTGTGTCCTCTTTCAATATTCTTGAATCATATATCCACTTGAATCTTCCACTAGCAGACCCGTATATCTTTTTAGTACTATTTCCATGTTAATATCCAGTAACTGCTCTTTCACATCCTTTGCTAATATTTCGATAGTTCTACTTTCACTTCCTTGTGTACAAAATGAAGCCAAGCATCTCCACCATTCCTTCATTCTTAACTACAAGACTTTCTCACATTTGGCTCAAAGCAGTTTCATACTTTCTTTGATTATCCTTTTACTTTAATGTGCCATTAACCATTTGTTATTACTCACTGTAAGATTATATTTGTAATGTTTAATGTTTTTTAAGGCTTTTAATTAATCTTTATATACGTATAGAATGTAACCTACGCATAATCCTTCAATAAGGTTTGTTTGATGTAATGATTAGCTTAGCAGGGGTTAAAAGTAGCTTCGATGGACCGGTCGAGGTCAGCTTCTGATTAAAAGGCAACAGCCTCACCATTAGTGTCAATGTTAGTTAATTAATTAATGTTAATGTTGCTACTTGTGAGTGATGAAAGACATTTTCTTTGAACCATTGTGTCAACTCGTTTTGAGTAAACCGGTGTTCTAGCAAACCTTACTCTGTTGCCTTTTTCCATATTCTCTTTTAACTTTCCCAATTTCTTCTTAGCTTATCTTTCCTTTTATTGCATGCTGTTCAGTGGTGTCTTTCGTAATAGACTTGTGTTTTTGCTCTATAGAGGTTATGCTAAATGGCTCATCATTCCCAGGATCATGATTCTGACCTTTTCCTTTCAAAGGCTGGAATAGCATTAGCAATTTTCCACTCAACAAACTGTTAAAAACATTATGCAATTCCTGTGCTACTTCCACCTTTAGTTAAATACTCTCAGATGTGTTCCGCTCTGAATCTGGTTCAGAAAATTCAATAACACAAT